ATTGCACAGACAAATTAAGTTTCTAACAGATCTTGAAGTGTCAACACTAATTGTACAATTTTTTTATTGCTTCACACAATCCCACTGAAGTTACTATGTAGGAGTCAATAGTAGGAAACACTATAATTAGTTGCAGTTAATATAAAATTATATAGTTGTACATCCAAATATTATCTTGCCCATTTCGATAAAAGTAGTCTTGTCATAACATTTTTTTTGAATCACAAAAGGGTGTCAAAAGACTTCTTAGTTTATGCCTAATTGTCATGACTAAACTTAAATACTTTTGCTAAGTTTAGGCTATATGATATAGTACCTTACTAAAACGTTTAAAAATCAGTACCATTTGTAATTAGTAACCTTTTCCAGAGGAAGACAGGGAATTGATAACATCTTATAGCTCTTAAATGCCTAACTAATTTATTTCCCCACTTACAGTGGAAAACTGTATTCTGTTACCAATGCTGGAGGAGCAAAGCAAAACCAGAATTAGAAAATATTACATATTAAAATGAGACATATACTCTGTATTTACATCTTCTATGAAGGTAACACACGTGCCTTGCTCAAATATTTTGAAAATAGTTATAGCACCTAATCACTTGTACCCATAAAGCCTTTCTGTGCACAGTAGGATATCAAGAATACATTATTTCTTCCCATGACAACTTTATTCTATCTTCACCATTTCTACCACTGAATTAAAATATTTGATTACAGATTCCCAGTTATTGCTACATTTCCAGTTTGCTGGTCCTCACTCTTCTGCCCAAAAGTTTGGTACCTCCAAGTACATTCACTGCAGACCATTGCAGGTAACTGACTGTCACCCAACAGTAGAACCAGGAGAGTTAACTAAGAGGTAACTATCTTGAATCAATTTTATCTTCTCTGCCTTATTCCCTAACTCCACACTACCCCACCACCCTAGCATCAGAAAATTGCTAAGTATCCTACCCACTTACCAAATAGTCTTGTTAAATTAATTACTAGCTACTCATACTCTAGTTTACTATATGGTAACACAGGGGTAATTAACTCATCAATATCTGCTGTGCAAACTGAGTTCTAATTTACTGCATACCCATTTGTAAGTCTGGCTACTGAAATATCTTACTCTTATGACACCTAATGCATTGATTCATCACACTTTTTGACTGGACTATTCCCTGAATGGTGGACCTTGAACATTAATTTCCTTCACTTGGAAAGCAGACTTCTTAAGTGATGTCTCCCCACACCCCACAAAAATAAACCAAAACAACCAACAACAATGAAACATCTACTCAACTTTTAGAAGAGATTAACACACAGCATAGGTGAAGCTGAACATGGTGGGAAGAACATAGCCCTCTCTGTTTAAGTTAGAGCAATAAATGGCGACCATGTATTCCGAGGCAAATATATATATCACAAGCTATTGTAAAAACATTTCAATGTTGGGGCCTCCCTGGTAGTGCAGGGGGTTGAGCCCAGCACCGTGAAGCTGGCTGCAGCCTCTGCAGTGCGATTTCAATCCCTGGCCAGCCAGGAAGCAGCCCACATGGCACAGACCTCTCCTGCCTCACACGTTGCTCCCCTCAGCAGTGTATTTCATCAGTCTGCCTGTTCTGTTCCCCACTCTGTCTCTGGTGAATCCTCTCACCCTCCGCAACTCTGGCCTGTACCCTAGCCCTTGTATTTATAAATAAATAAATCTTTAAAAAATTTTTCAATGTTTTCCCAAACTTGTTTTCTGGAGAGAAAAACAAACCATTCACTCAGTTCAATTCAGTAGATTGCGTTTATTTCCTAAGTCACTAGCTGCTAAAGAGTGAATAGCTAACTATATATAAGAGATGATGTTGTAATTTTATTAGGCATATGTAAATATCCACCAACAATGGACACTGGTTCCAATAGGTCATTGTGTGTGCTTCAGTGAGAAGCAGATTGTTATGGTTGCCAAGAGTAACTCTCAGCCACAAGCCCGTGGACTGGCCAACACTGACCAGCTGGGCAATGCAGGCCTGCAATGTGCCTCGGAATACATGGTGGCCATTTTTTGTTCAAACTTAAACAGAGAGGGCTATGTTCTTCCCACCATGGTCATTCTCATTGCTAAATTTATATTTATAGCTAGCCTCTCCACCATCTGTGCATGCTGCCTATGGTGCATCTCTGAGGACTTGGAGAGGCATTATTTGAAGACCTGATTAAATAGTCAGGAAAAAATCATCCATCATTTATAAGGGGGGAATGTAAGACAGTCACAATGGTGTCCTGTCACGCTTTTGGATTTTTGTCTTCATTTTCTTTTACTTTCATTCTAATTCAATGCCAAATACAATAAACACTGACCAACAGTGTAGAGTCCACTGACAATACATTACCATCTAGGCGAGAGAAGAATGAATTACTAAGATTCTCTAAGCCTGCCTTAGCAAGGAGGTAAATGACATTTCTTCCCAGAGGAGCTTTGATTTTTAATAAACACACACACCCAAGTGAATGAGGGCACAAGTGGAAAACAAGATACTACAATAAAGGGCCACCTGCTGAAATCAGAGCTTATAGGGGTAAGTGAAGCTGAATACCTACAACTGGTTTATCACATGAGCTGAATTTCTGGAATAGCAAAAGGGGATGTTTATTACTATCTCCTGTCACCATGCTCAGATACATCATATCAGATCTATTTTCTACTACCTCTAATTGCAATTTGAAACAAATCTTTAGATGCTGGGGCCAATCTTCTGGCACTGGAGTCACCTTATTTAAAAGTCTTATCTTCAGGTATTACAAAACAAGCAATACCACTACACAACATGCGCACACACACTCCTCAGCGGTTCTTATATCAAAACACTAAACATAATAATGTTCAATTCAAAGCTTCTCCCTACCTCCCAGAGTAGGCCTGTAACCAAAGCCAGTAAAGGAGCCCCATTATTCAGTCTTTTGAGCCCAGTTCTTCCCTTCTGTACAAGGCTAATCCAGGGTCAGAGAGAGAAGAGCAACTGGAAGTAAAGTAACAAGGACTGATTTTCCTAGCTTGTACTCCTACGACTCTGTCAAAGAAGGTTTCAGCGTGCTTCCTTTTTTGGGGGCAGCTCTCTGGGTTTCTTGGAGACCACATCTTAGGAATGTTCTCACTGGGCCTTTTCCTGAAGCCAGCAAGGCAAGGTCTTCAGTGTCTTTTGTCTGAGGAAATCTATGCAGAAGGACCTCATGGGCAGAGTCCTTTCAAAAAAACTGCAGTCCTGTTTTCTTCAAGTGCAACTGACACTTGTTTTTCCCAAAGGTAAAAACAGAGCTTCCTCCCAAATTTCCTTCTTTCGTCCTCTGGTTCATGAGCAGCTCTTGGTAGCCTTCAGTGAGAGTAAGTTGTTTTATTTCTCACTTTTGCAAACAATTCCCACACACGCCCACAATCTATTCAGGGAGTTTTCTTGAGGCCTCTACAACTTAGCTTGTGTGGGAAGGAAAATACTACGAAAATCTCTAATCCTTTTAATTCCACCACTTCAAAGAATACACCAATACCTGCGGTCAGTTGTTGGGGATGAGTCACGTGGCCTTTTGAGCAATGTCGCAAATCTAAAGAGAATGTCTCTCAACTCTCTTTAGAAAAGTTGGAGAGCTGTCTTGCATTTTCCTCAGCTTTATAACCTCAGATGGACATCAAGGTTAACTAGAATTCTCTTGCTCTGTGCTGTGTAGAAGGCAGAGTGTTAGTGCCAACATGGCCGCACTGTCGTTAGTAATGGTGTGGGGCATACATTCTAAAGCAATTGAAGACTCGGTGTTAGGGTTCTGTTTCTCCTATTTATTCATGACTTTCAGAAGAAAAGAATGTAGTCACACAAATGAAATTACACTAACACTTAAAGCACATTAAATTGAGGGAAAAGAAGTCGTCCATCAGAGAAATCAGTGATCTTGAACCAGGGTAAATTGACTGTTTTAATTCCTAGATAGCTCTTAAGAGAACTATCATTTACTTATCTGGGACAGTTGTTCTAGTTAAAACAGTTGCTTTTTTTGTTTTAATCCAGGAAAAAAGGACAAGTCATTATTGTGACCATTAATATGAAAGCATGTTTGTCTTTGGATAATTGATTAGGAGTCCTTTAAAAAATTAAAGGACTTCATAGTTAATTCTCTTTTGCTTTTCTTAGTGGTATTACTTTTTATTGAGGCAACATTGGTTTACAATACTATAGACCACTAAGGTATACGCTATCTCTTTGGATAAATATTACCATATCAGCCTAGTGCCCAGGCATAAAGAAACACAATGTCTCATACATTTCAGCTACTTTCTACTGAATTTATGCAGGGAAAGAAAAAGACAAGAATGAGCCACATCAAGAGCTAAGAAACTGGTCTAAGAGTTAAAGTTATCATAATATATGGTATGAAAACTTTTCATAGGAGTATTAATATTTTCAAGTATTTGTATCTAAACAAATTTTCAATCTTATTTTAGAAAAGTGAATATTTTCTATCTCTAGTCTTACATTTCAGAGAAACAAATTTTTATTTTATCAAAATTCTAAAAACAATTGAGCAAAATAAAGCCTTAAATGTAACAAAAATGAACATTTATCAAAATCTAATTATAAAAATAACATACTTTCAAGTATTTTTTTCTCTCAATTTCCATTGACCACTGATTTAAGACTTCATATATGAGTGTGTGTATAGCATAGATAGTCTATATTTAGATGAAACACTGAAAGAAGAGCATGTCATCAAAGGGGGAAGAAAGTAGTAACTCAGTGGTTGTTGCCACTGACAAATAGAGGCACTTATAGTTCACGATGACTGTCTCTCACTGGAGAGGGATGTTTGATAGATATACCATTGCTAGAAAAAGCATACCACTGATACACATATGTAGACCTTAATTTACTAAATAATTAATTTCAAATTGTAAGTCTATAACAATATAGACTTACAAGAGGACTATGCATAATTATAGCTACAAGTACCAGAGTCAAGTGCCCTTGTCTTACCAGGCTTAGGGACAATGAGTTGTGCACTGGTCTGGGAGTTTCCAGCCTCATTTTCAGCCACACATTGATAAAAGCCTTCATCCGACTTTACCACTCCAAGGATCCGTAAGTTGCTTCCTCCCTAAGGAGAAGAAAAGCAGGTGGTGAAATATTCAAAAAGCAAAACATTAAAGTGACAAAATGACCATAAACAGCATTTTAATTAAAGTTCACAGAAGAATCAAGAAAGGAAGTCATAAGACTATTACTAATTACTTAGTAATTAATTGCTAATTACTAAGTCTTCCAAATGTCTTAATTCCCAAAAAGAAGTGGGAATATGTCCAACAAGAAGATAATGTCTAACACCACTTGGGAAATGCCTCCGACCCTCAAAACTGCTGAATGCATGTGCATCAACTTAACCTAGTTCTACAAGAAAAAATATAATCATAAAATACACATCATCTTTATTAACTAAACGAGAAGTGAACAGAAAATTATTGTGAGAAATGGAAAAAAACAAGGTTAGCATCAAAAGAAATCTTTTCCTTTTACCTACTTGTTATTAAAGGAAACTCAGTTTCGGCAGCTGCTGGGGAAAAGTAAAATGAAACAAAAACAGCTTCAAAGAGAGAAGAAATCTAAGTTGGCTATTTTCTGGATGTGTTTACTGAGAAACAAAAATGTCTGACAATCTTTAAAAAATTGTAATTGCTTTGACATGTACCCTGTTGACCTTGGAGGGGGTTATGGAGGACATTTGATATCTGTGCCCCTCTTGTATAAGGCAAAATGTTTTGCTTTTAATAATCCCTAAATTAAATACAGCAACATTACCTCCTGTCTTCTATAAATTCAGCCACCTTCTTTTTCAAGAATGGATGATAAAATGATAAGGAGATAACATTTAATTATACTAACTCAGTTTATCTTCAATATTAGTGTAAGAATTAGTTCAGTAAGTGAGACGTGTTAAATCACTTTCCCTGAAGTCATTAAGAGATAAATATTACCTCATGGGGAATTCTTAATTGTTTTTAGTGCCTTGTAGTCAATTCTCGGCTGATGTAAAATTCTTAGATAAAGCTGACTAACTTCTAATTAACAAATCTCATATAACTTACTATTTGTGTTAAATGTTACATGTACGCCAGACAATAGCTCTCTGATTTCTGGAGCTACTGGGGAAATATTTGTAAGCATAATTTAGTGGGAATAGGACTCTTACTGTACATTTTCTTTTCACCTTAAGAAAAGCAGCATTTAAATAGGTTGGCTGTAATGCGTCATGCTGGGAGAAAGATTTTTCAAACTGTAGAAAAAAATAAATGTTGCCTTTTATCATATGTCCTGAAGGGCACGCAATAATTTCCTTTATATGCAAGTCATATATATTTTAGACATATACAACACATTTCAAGTTGCCCTATGGCAGGTCATTTTTAAGTCAGTAGTAGTGGAAATAGCATTGCCACTTAAAGGATCTAATGAATTGGTATGGCTTCAAAAGTTAAATGTTTTCCCTTCTTGCTCTATTCCCAGCGAATTGAACAAATACAATGGAAAGTGAAAAAAATGGTTAAGTGGTGCTAACAGTAGCAAGTTATGCTTTATGGATTTATTTCTCAAGATCCCTTGTAGTGTGACAAAGCACATGCACAAAGAGACTATGAAGGGTTCTGGAGGTTGACTGATCTTAGAAGAGGAATTCACCATTGAGAGCCAGCGTAAAGCTAGGGAGAAGAAACTAGTAACTACAAAGCAGTGTGAACTCTGCCTCTCTGGCTTCCTCCCACTGCCACCACCAGGATACGCTGGTGCAATTTGGAAGAGAAGCAAAGGAAAATTGTCTACACTATCAAAGTAAGGCAACAACAATCACAAGTAGCATATCTTGCTGAAAGTTTATTATAAAAGTCAAAGAAGCAGAGATTCCTGGCTTAATTTAGTCTAGAGGTAGGTTCTGAATTGTATTGCCCCAATAACCATCAAGGAGAATACTTGGAAAGAGGAGATTTGCTTCTATTTTCCTTTATCTATTTGTTTAAAACCTTGTCTGAAAGACACACAAAAGGAGCCAGACTATTTGATCACTTTATTGGTTCAAATATGAGAAAAGATAATTACCACTATCTGAAAATAATCACTGGGAATGACCACATCTCCATTCTTCATCCAATTCACAGTGGGCAACGGCTTTCCAGAGACGGCACACTCAAACTCGATGTCCATGCTTTCATAGGCATAGAGGTTGGAAGGGTGATTTAAGAACCATGGCGGAACTGCAAAGACAGAAAAAAAAAATGTGGGTGTGTGGGATTGTGAACATGCATGCTAAGTTCTTCACCATGTGAGAAACAGTGCTTTAGACTACAAAATAGTTGTAATCCAAATGGTTATAATCCAGTTTGGGGGAATTGCTCACAAAAACTTGATTTATTAATCAAGCACTTAGAACACATGGGCCTCCCTTGTGGCGCAGGGGTTAAAGTCTCAGCACTATCAAGCTACTAGCAGCCACTATGGCATGAGTTTGATCCCTGGCTAGGGAGCTGACCCGCGTGGCGCGGCAGACCTCTTCTGTTTCCAGATCTGCCTGTTTTGCTCCCCGCAGCAGGGTATTTCAGTAGATTCGCCTGTTCTACTCCCCACTCTGTCTCCAGTGCATACTTTCACCTTCCTCCCACACCTCTAGCTTACAGCCCAGTTCTTACATGCACAAATAAAAATAAATCTTTGAAAAAAATGGAACTTGGAATAAATCTTCACTCTTGTCCTAAACACAGCATAATGGTTGCAGTGAATGGTATTTTGCCACAAGGAATGAAAAATAAACACTTGTGGAAAAAAACATTAAATTTAGTAAACAGCTGAATACTCAAGTAACTCTATCCAATTGATCTGCATAAAGGACAGTGGGATGTGTATAAAGTTAAAGAATCTAAGCTAATGAAGTAAACAGAGGGGAGTTGATTGGAATTCAGCAACCCAGAGTATAAAACAAAAAAGCTTAGTGTCCCTGTAATTCTAGAGTTTCATTAGGATGTAGTTAATGTGAAGGACTCATTTCCTGCTGAAACTGGCTGCAGCGATAGGACACTAAAATGACTGTCATCTTTAGTGTGGACACATTCCTATTGTCCTAGTAATTATCTACTGTAGCGTATTATTCCACTATATTATAATTTTCTCAGCATGGTAAGTGATATCCTAATTTAATTTAGTGTCTCAATTACCATAATACTAGTTACTCTATGATGAAAATTTGCAATTGAAAGAAAATTACAAATACAATATAACACACCTGTGCTAATGAATTTCTCAGGCTCTGTCCCTCAAAGTCCTGCCTAGAGGAAGAAGAATTTTGAAAGTAATGTTCATCCTCTTCCTCTGGGAATCTTAAATTGATAGCACATTGGAATCTTCACACTGCCTGAGATCCAGGTTAAATTCACAGTGAAGTAGCAGCCTTGATCTCATTTCACATAGGAAATTGATATGCATTTTGGGGAACCATTTTTAAGGTTAGATTGTATTTCTTTGCCATTATTAAGCTCAGTAAGAAGGATGCACTAAAGCTTGAACCTTTGAGTAAATACTGCATTTTAAAAATTTAATTATTTATTAATATATATATGAGACAACATTTTTCATTTGTTTTACAATGTTTGCTTTCTTTTCTCAGGTATAGTCCCCGTAGAATTTCTACCACCAGTTCACTGTGCACCAGCACCATAGTCCCTTGTGCTCTGCCCTCCCCTGTTTTGATCCCTCCTCTCTCTCCCTCCCCTGAAGAATGTCTCTGATTTAGAGTTGTCTGTTTATTTTTATTTTGTTTTGTTATGTTTTTCATTATTATTTTTTCCCTAATGCCTTATTTGATGCCCCTGTATTCCTCCTATAAGTGAAATCATCCGATATTTTTTCTTTTTCCTTCTGACTTATTTCACTGAGCATAATCCCTTCTAGCTCCATCCCTGTTGCTGCAAATAGCATTATCTTTTTTGATTGCCGAATACTATTCTACTGTGTATATACACTACATCTTCTTGATCCAGCCATCTATTTTTAGGCATTTGGGTTGTTTCCAAGTCATACCTATTATAGTACTGCAATAAACACAGGGTTACGGGTGTTCTTTTGAATTAGTGTTTTTGTGTCCTTTGGGTAGATCCCTAGGTGTGGAATTGCTGGATCATGGAAGCTCCATTTTCAGTAGTCTGAGGAACCTCCACACAGCTTTCCATAGTGGTTGGGACCAGTTTGCATTCCCACCAGAAGCGCAGGAGTTCCTTTTTCACAACATCCTCACCGATATTTGCTGTTGCTAGTTTTTTTTTAATATGTGCCATTCTTACTGGTGTGAGATGGTATCTCATTGTGGTTTTGACTTGCATTTCCCTGGTTATGAGGGATGTTGAACTTTTTTCATATGCTTGTTGGCCATTTGCATTTCCTCTTTGGAGAAGTATCTTTCAAGTCCTTCCCATTTTTTGACTGGATTGTTTACTTTGTTTTTGTTCAGTTGTTTGAGTTCTTTGCATATCTTTGTGATCAGTCCCTTATCAATTGTATGAAATACAAAAATTTTCTCCCAATCCACAGGGTGTCTCTTCATTTTGCTCTTTAACCACCTTCAGCAACTTTCTCCTGATGGCAAAGTGAATCTGCAATCTTTTTTTTTTTAAAGATTTATTTATTTATGCATACAAGAACTGGGGTACAGACCAGAAGTTTGAGGGGGAGGGGTAAGAGGATTCACCAGAGACAGAGTGGGGAGCAGAACAGGCGGATCTACTGAAATATAGTGAGCGAGTCAGGAGAGGTCTGCTGCACCATGTGGGTCACCTCCCTGGCTGGGATCAAACTCGTGCTGCAATGGCTGTGGATTGCTTCATAGTGCTGACGCTTAACCCTTTGCGCCACCAGGGAGGCCCCTGAATCTGCAATCCTTGATGTTCACCACCTTCTAAAAAAATGGGACATTCAGGGTAAAGAGTGTAGGATTCAAGTTCTGGTTTTCTACGGAATGATTGTGGAAATTGCTCTCAAACCCGTTCCCTTCCTCTTTGCCTAAGGTTCCTGATTTTTAACTGAGTATTTGGATTCCTAGTGCCAAATAACTTATATTCTTTAATCTTTCAAGGAAGAAAATTGATTTAGATGGCTCAGCTGGGATGCATTAATATTCACTAGCTAAAGGCATGGAAGGAATGAGCCTGAGAGCTTGACTGAAGAGAATTTGTGACCATTGTACAGAGAACGACAATCATTTATAATTGATAATATTAGCATGAAATTTTCTTTCATCACCAAATTCAGTGACAATAAACCACAAGAACACAGATACTTTTCTTGAATGCCTCTGAGCACATTATTTGTTGTCTCTTTTAGATTCTGTTCTCAATTTTATGAAATTTTGATCAAATTTTATTTCCAATCAATATTTAATGTTTCTTGAGAACTGACTATGCACAGATTATGTCTTAACGTTTTTTATTTATTATTCTTATTGCAACTCTTTGAGGTACTCTCTACTATTCCCATTTTTCAGGTGAGGAGATTGTGGTACATAGTATTTAAGTAACTTCCACAAACCACATGTTGTGGGGGATAGTGCTGAAAAGGTCCAGATACATAGGCCTAGGTTGGATTAGAAATTAGGTGAAAGCTTTTCAACCTTGCTTTTAAGTGATACATCATCGATTGATACATTTTTCCCCAGAAGTTATTATTCACATGCATTTTTCACATGCACACCCCTGTGGTTTAATTTAACAATCCTACCTGGCATTTTCTAACCCAAGCCTTTGTTCATTCTATTTTCTCATCCAAGGTGAAATGAACTGTATTCCATTTCACCTTGGGTAGAGACATCCTGTCTGTCCTTCATAAATCCACTTTTCTAGAAAAGGATGTCTCCATTTTTTTCCATATAAAATGACTGCTCCTTTTAGAATTCCTGTGGCATTTATTACAATTGTTTTTATGGTACTTTCTACAGTACCCTTACATTTGTTGGTAAGGTAACTTACCAATAATGCTAACATGAATTCAGTACATTGCTTAGTTTTTGATGCTGACACTGTGTTACGAGGATGTGAGCAAATGGAGTCAGCCATGTTGACTCTTCTGATCTGACCTCTGACTTTTTCTATGATGAACAGACTTGGATATAGTCACTCATTTTAGGATGGCTTTCTGGAATTTAGGAACATTTACCCTGTGGCCAACTTTTACATCGATTTTCATTTAAAAGATATCTTTCACAAAATCATTATTTACCAACCAGACAATTCCAAAGATGGAGCCTATGCTTTCCCCCCTAATTTCTTTTGACAACCATGGTTTCCCTTTCTACTTCTGTGGATAAATAATTTAACTACTTTAAAGTATTTGGAGGGCATCAGTTTCTTAATGACTTACAACTGAAGTACCAAATTATTCCATTTACACAGTGTTAGTTCATTTAAAAAATGCTTAATATACACATATAGTATTATGATTTCCTATAAGATATTGACTTTAGTCACACTTTCCTTCTTTATATGGAATAAAGTTCATGCCTGAAATAAGTTAACCACTTTTCCATCAGATCTTGGTTTCTTGGGATCTTCTCAAGTGCTTGCATTACATTATAGATAATTTTTATTTTGGGACTAAGGGAAGAAGGTTTATGACCACAAATGACCAATAAGCAATTGAAATATGAAAAAATATAATTCTGTGCTTAACAGTATTAGTTAGAATCATAGTAGAACTATGAGAGATACCTTTATACATCATTAGATACCTTTATACTAAACCTTAAATTTAGGCAAATGTTTGCTATAACTTTAGTTGTTTTTAAGAATTTTTTTATTCAATGGCTAATCATTTGAATTTTACATAGTAAAATTTCTTGCACAATTTCAGTCCCAAAGTCATCACCAACAAGAAAATAGTATTAAGGGCTATATTTCACACAATAGATACATCACAAGCAATTTTGTTATCATACCATATTACTTCCTAATTTTCTTTTGTCTTGGTTTCTAGAGCATTACTTTCAGCTAAATTATTCTCTTCCAGTTATGTTGGTATGTAATACATGAGGCTCAACTTAAAAATACTATTCTAATACACATAATTAATATTCTTGGCAAATACCTTGAGAGACTTCTATACATTCTAGAGATTTTCCACAGCATTTTAAATTGCAAAGACTGCATTTTTAAAGCTTTGCAGATATTTTAAATGAAGAATAGAAAATAAAAATTACTCTGGAGAATGATAAGCAAAA